TTTGGTCATTTTTGGTCACACGTCTGTCTGAGTGGACTGCATGTGAGGTGTTTAGGGAACATCTGTAAATCGTCGTGTCCATCGTCACACAGATGTTCTGCAAAGTTCAGCCTGTTTGTAGGTCATTCAAACCAAATGAATATCTGCTCAGGTTAAATTTGAGGCTCAGCAAATCATGTTCTGGTGCAACTAAGTGAGAAAGTGAGTGGCAACGTTAGTCTGAAGCTCTGGTGAGGGGACGTAGCGGCTATTCTGATTCAGAACTTTCTTGCAAAACCATTTTTCTACACTTCTTGTTCCCATATAGGATCATTTTAACAGCACAAGCACCCTCCATTCAACCACATACATCACGTAGTTCTGAGCAACCAAAAAAACTTTACACCGAGTTTGTATTATTGTAGTTGAAAAGTGTGAAGAAAGTAAAAAAGTGAATGTTTTTGTACATAAACAAACTGTATGAGTTTGAGTGTGTCGATTTAGATTCAACTGTGGATTTAGTTTAAACTCAAAAATTGCAGAGATTAAACTTATGTGGAAAACTCTGGCAACAAACTGCTCATCGATGTGAGACGGAGGCAGAACCTGCAAAAAAACAAAAAAAAAAAAGAACATTCACATCCGCGTGTTATTGTCTTATGTCATTTAAATGTTAATGATCTTTTAAGCTTTATCAACAGTTTAAAAAAAATATAATTTTTGCTGTTCCAACTGTTTTAAATCAACTTAAAACAGCTTATCATACTCTATAGGAGGCCTCATGTACTTCTATGTAGCAGCTTTGCCTGCATAAGCAAAATATAAGAATGAGCGATTTAAAAAATGATATTTGGTTTTCAGCAATAAAAAAAGATTCAAGGACATCATTTCACCACAATGTGAGTAATGTTCTCAGCCTGTCTGGCTCTGCAGATTCATCTGATTCATCACTGAAACATCAGCTTGCATGTTATTCTCACCATCAGCACTGGAGCATCACCTTCACTCACTTTCAATATTCAGGACAAAACACACTTTCTTAATGCAGAAGAAGAAACCTAAACCTCTGTGGTGCTGCGGGACACACAGCACATCAGATTTTTAGGATTTCTTAGGAATAATGATGAATAAAAGCCAAATCAGGTGCCACAGAGATGCTGTATAGGTCATTTCTGACCACGTAAAAGTGAAAAAAGTGGAAGACATGGTGTCGAACGTTGATTTAGATGCAGGGAATCAGCAGTTTTTTGAGCAGTAACATGCAGATACTGTATATTTGTGTTCAGCTCCACTCTGCCTTCATGTGTCCGTCCTCTCCGCTCTGCCCTCTCCTCCCCTTTTTTCTGTTTTCTCCATCTTTTTCCATTTCGCATTGATTTTTTTGTTTGTTTTTCCAGCTGATTATGTCCCTGTACTCTGATTCGCCGGTGGGCACATCGCTCTCTGCACTTTAATTGGACATTTAATTAGATCACAGTTTTAGTCCAATTAGACTCAGAGGTGTTGGGAAACGAGGGGATGGAGAGGGGAGAGGAAAAAGTCCCCCAAGCCGGTGTCTCGGTCTCCCTTCCCCCTCGGTGCTCTCTCTCTCTCCCCTCGCCTCGCTCCTTCTCTGCCTCGCCGTCTCCCCCGTCCTCACCCTCCTGAGGGCGGCTCATTAGTGATATAATGGGATGACACAAAACGCACAGCTCTGACTGTCGGAGCGGCGGCTGAATGGAGGTGACTGTGTCTGGATCACAGATCTGGACTTTTATAAATAGATATATAGTCATTTTATGATATACATAGTTATTAACTAGTTACATATTTTTTAAGTGTTAATTTACATATTAACCATAAAAATATATATTTTTTAATTTCATGAAATATCTGTATTTTTACAAAAAATAATTCATTTGACTGTAAAATCACACATTTTTTACTGTATTTAAATCAGCAAAAATAAAATTATTTTACAGATTTTCCTTATTTGTATTCAGGATTGAAAAGTAGTAAATATACGTTTTAACTATTATTATACAGGTTTTCCCTGTTCTGTTAAATTACTAATAATAGTTTGTAAAATTACAGCAAAAAAAAAATTATATTAAAATATTTTTGGCCAACACTGTAAATCACATCCACATCACGAATCTGTACTTTTACGAATAATAATTTGTTCTTTTATAATGTTTTACCATAAAATTACACTTTTTATTACTATATTCAAACCACCAAAGTCAGGATATCAATATAAAGGATTGAAAAGCAGAATAAAAAAGTTTTTTTTTAGATTATTCCCTTTTTGGTAAAGTACAAAAGAATATTAATTTAAATGTTTACTGTTAAAACGTGTTAAAACGCAATGTTTGTCCACATCAAAAATCTATATTTTGATAAATGATAATTTGTTGTTTTACAGCGTTTAACCATGAAATGAACCAGTTTTTTTAGTTTTACTCTTAATAAATCAGCAAAAATATGATTATTTTAAATATATTTGCCGTTATTTAAAAGAAAAACAATGTATATAATGAATTAAACTATGCACAGTGAAATTATTTTTTAACTTAATTTTTCAAGAATAATTTATTGTTATTTTAAAGATCTTCCCAGTGTAGGTAAATTACAGATAATATCTAGAAAAATTACAGGAAAAAAGTATTTATTTAGATTAATTAAACAGGCCAAAACTGTACGTCTATGCGTCTAAATCCAAAATCTGTGTTTTACTGTGTTTGTGTTTGGCTGCACTGAAATCTGCTGAAAACACAGATGTTTGCAGTTACTTTCACTTTTGGTTTTGCAGTTTTTGAACACTGCAGAGGGGAAGTGAAGGCTGCCAGTCAGTGCAGCATTGATCAGCCCTCACACACAAACAGCAGTGACACGCTGGGCTGAACCCTATCGACTCCAGTGTGATATCACGACACCTAATGAGACTCAGATAAGCCTCATTACCAGCAGCGCCTGCGTCCACGCCACTCAAACCACTTTTAGCTCCCCCACGGTTCCTCCCTCTTCTCCCTCCTCTCTGTTTGTTGTTGTGTTTGCACAAAGCTCGGCCTCG